AAATTTTCAGTAGCCTGTGGAGCATCCATTGCATGTGTTTTGACCCCAAGTTCCTAGCTTTTCTAGTTTCAGAGCAGCTGCAGTTTCCAAGGAACCCTGCATAGCAATTTACAGAGTGGGCAGGGGGCAGCAACCAACAATGCTGCATGAAGTGCACAGCACATGAACATTGCTACACCAACAGAGCCATATATCACAAGGGTATGCTCAAAACACACAAATGTATACACCATACTATTCAGAATTGAACAAGGAACACACCTGCTTAAGTTTCTATCACCATAAGGCATGGTCTTTAAGGTATGTCATGAAGCTGGGAAATACATTTGGAGAATTTGACCTTAGATTTGCCATAATGGGGTTAATCATTGCCTCAACAACATACAAACTAGCATGTATCATCAGATCCCATTGAGACCAATCTTATTATGTGATCTGCTTAGCTCCACATTAAAAAGTTTGGAAATGCCAAGGGAGTTGTTCATAACCCAAACCAGTCAGCAATATGCAAAGTTTTATTTCAACTTAACTCCAAACACATTGGTTAAACTACAACATGTTGGTTAAATCAAACATTTTATCAAGTGTTTACAACTAAAGTATTGATAAATGACCAAGAACTAACTCAACACTTCAACTCAACACACAATCTAAGTACTTAACTGGTCTAATAGTCTGCCTGGTGACCAGCTCACATGTCATCCTAGTGGTGATATAAATGGAAGGTCAGTGCTTTGACAGTCATTTGTGTTAAGCTTTATAAGATTGTAAACCTTCATCACCAGGACAAATGTTGGTCAAACTCATATGACACCTGAAGCCTGCAGGCCATTTGAACAGGCAGTTCTTTACATGAATGACATTCAAATCAGGCAATTTGGTACAGGTTTACAATGACACCTATGTTAAAAAAGAGTATTGTATGTCAATCATCATTTTTAAGTATTTGATAAGTATTTGATTCAATAGCACAAACACAACTCTGGCACCATTGTTACATTATTTAACTACATGGCTATATCACATTACTGTACATCAAGAACCATAAAAATGCACAGGGTCAAGGTGACAAGAATATAATGAAATGTGTTTCTTGTGTATCCAAGCAGTCAAGGGATAATGTATCATTGGAGTTGCATGAATTGGGATTGTTTAGCCTTAGTATTGCTGGATTTCAAGATCAATGGCCTAGATGACCTGGCCTGATCTAATCTGACCTCACCTCCCCTGACCCAACCTAGTCTACTATGACCTGGACTGACCCAGACCAGACCTAGTCCACTACACCTAGTCTACTTACCTTACTGCTGTCTGCTGTTGTTATAGTAATTATCATATTTTGAGGGCAAGGTGACTAATTGTCCATGAAATGTTCCTGTCTTATGACTATTTATACCATTATGTATACAAATATCAATTAGTAGACAACTTAATATTGCAATGGGAGTAAGACTAGGCATGATACATCCCATAATACTAAGCAACAAGTGCTATTGGTCAGACTGTCAGTCTAATAAATCCAGTGACACAAAATCCCTAAGTGATCCCACTTCATGTAACTCCGATGATGCAATATCATTTGATTGCTTCGACATACAAAACAAATTCATGACATTCTTGTTAACCTGGCCCCATAATTTTTATGGCTCTCGATGCACAGTTATGTTATGTCGCACAGCAATACCGCAGAAATAATGCTGGGGTGCTGTGTTTGCAGAGCTTGGTGGTTTGCTGTCATAATTATTGAAGTTTGAAGTTAAGAGCACAGATGTACATGATTTATGATTATTAATGATATGTTGTGCCTTAAAAACAACAATGTGTGATGCTCTTTTTTAACATTAGGAACCAATGTACACCATGACTAACAACTTATTAAACATTTGCGCTCATTTAACATCTGCACATTTAACAATTAACACAGCAGTCACTGCCAGAGATAATAACCTTTGACTCATGATGGAAGGGTTATGGCAAACTCTGATACAATCATGACAACCAGGTACAATCAGCAACAGCAGGGACCTTTTTAACCACTGGTTACATCCACAGTCAATTCTAGCTGCTGCACAGAAGGTTCAAAAAGAGATTGCTTTGACCATATATGCCCCACAATGAAAAGGTCATGGTATACATTAGCAAACATTTGAGCTGTACCATGCTCTTTTCTAACTTTAGGTACCAATGTATACCTACACCAAAACATTGGCTCTATGCACCAATACTATTTAACATGTCCCAAACCTGGAGTGTGGAGTGTGAGCTACAGTGCACATTAGTAGTAACTGTAGCTTCAATGTTGTGAGTACACCACAGAAATGAAGTGAAACCTGTGTGTTTACCCAATGGTAACCATACCAAATAAATTGATTAACTTTTCATTTGTTCATGCTGAAATATCTAAACCCTCACACGTGTTTCCGTGGGATAAGGCTGGCGTTATAATACGCCTAAGATATCAAGCGGAATGGAAAAGCTTCATAGCTTTACGAGAGCGAGAAATATGGTTTAAAACAAAACAACTTTGGAACAATACACTCGCACACATCCTCCGGACACTCATTTCCATACTGCAGCCAAAAGGAATCAATGATGTTTTCAGTTAGGCATGCACTCAAGCATAAACAACCCTACCAATTCAATAGCACACCTCACGTGGAAAACACAACCCCCTCTCCGCTGGAACAGCAACCCGTACCAATAAATGACGGAGCGGTCACTTGCGATGATTCATGCTCGTGGTAAGCGTCTTGCCAAGGTGCTACCATATGCTTCCAAACACTACAGACCTGGTGCAGATAAATGAGTCAGAAAAAACATTTTTTGGATTTAGTTTTATATTTTTACCCAAAAAACTGAGTAAAACTAAAAAGTTTGGTTCAATTTTCCGTTCCTATTTCAAAATAATTCCAAAAACTGTATGCATATTAGATAGTACATGCTTTTTATCATTTTAAAAAGCCATGAAGGAATAAATACCTTTAAAGCTACTAAATTTTACTTCAAAAGACAGACATTTTCAAGGACTAAGCGTCGTTTCACGTCTTATTTCAGTACCATTCGAGGTAAACAGCACTGCAAAGCAGCGAAGCCAATGGTGTTGGTCGTGTGGGCTAGCCGCGGGGGGAGCGCGTTTGAGAAAGTGAGGCCCGGGGTGGGGCGGGGCAGCGTGAGTGCTTAAGGTGCTCCACAGCTGTTTTATATTTGTCGTTACTGTTGTAGAAGTGCTGATGGCTTCTGCCAGACCCGGGACTGGGAGGTACCGAGATAGATCTTGTGGCCAACATGTGACGAATGTCGATATTGATCCGAACGAGCCCGCTGTGGACGAGTTTGATCCTTTTCAAGATCAAAATAACGTCGAGGAAGACCCCACGTATGAACCTCCGCCAGAAAAGGAGTGAGTGAATTTAGTGGATGGATTGTGCTGCTGGGTGCTCAGCCATCAGCGCTGTACAGCACATGCATGGTATTGCATGTTGGGTACTTAAGTGCCAACTTGGTTGTCTGGTTGTGGAATCACGTAAGGTGTCACCTGTACTCTAGGCATGTAATGAGCAGTTGAGAAATGCTTCATTTTCCATGACTGAGGCATGCATGCTAGATGCCTTCACATGTCATGCATTTTTTATTGATGCAGGCTAAATAACATTGTAAATTACCATGTTCTATTGTATCTGTGTTTTACTATGTTTCATTACTTGTCCATTGGCACAATAGTACTCCTCAGAGTTCTCTCTCAGAAAAAGAGGTGTCTGATCAAAATGCTGAATCAGCTACCCTAGGTAATCATGAATTGTGAGATGTGCTATTTTCCCTGTGTATGTTAAGCCAAGTTTCTGCTTGGACATAATCAGGTAAGATATTTAGCCATGCAGTGCACATCTTTAGATATGTTTCTTTGTAGAGATTGTAGGGATTATAAGTTGATCAATTGTAAAGAAGCAAATCAAGAGGTGCAGCCATCATTGATGGATGTATCACTTCTCAGGCAATATGCAAGGAGGTACCAATTTTTCACTTTCCCATATTGTATATCATAGATTAGGAATGTGGGGTAAGATTATAAGCTATGTTCCATGCTTCTGATGTGGTGTGGGTTCGCTTTGGGGCTGCGCTCATTGGGATCTTTTTGTTGTTCAACTGCCAAGGTGAGTGTGTAAAGCCAACAGCATCATAGAATCGGATATACCTGCCATAACTTACTAATATATCTCTAAACTGTCTGACCTGTAGAACAGAAAGTGACTTGAGAGAAGGCAAGGATGCCTTCTCTGAAACTGATTCAAATGCTGGACATTATCACCTAAACTTGAGAAATAGAGCCTTTAAAAGTTCACAGGCTTTCAGATTTGCTTATTGTGTTGTTTTTTTACCAAACAATGTTTGTGCTTTTACAATGGCATGGCCACCAATGCTCAAACTGCAAATGAATGCAAATACATACATTTTGCAGACCAGAGCCTATAAATTGCAGGGCAGGTAGCCCAATTATCCAGTGATGTTATCTGTTGGATAGCTCATAAATGCAGCATCAATGAACCTCTGTCAGGAATTCTCTCATGAAGAGTGAACTTTCCATCCCATGGATGTCTCATTTGCTTGGATTCATATCCATGATCACAAATGGTAGCCCTCATATCTGCTTTCCCCTTGTTCCTCTCACTCTGCACAAAGGGTTGTGCTGTTAGCAGCACAATATGTGCATAATATTGTCCATGTTTTTCAACCTGTGTGTGGAGAAAGATGTCCTTGAACCAGCTCAGCATTTTTTTTTTTCTTGGCTTGTGCTGCATTTGTACTAGGCCATTGGCACTGCAAATGGCCAGCATTTGCAATTTTCAAAATTGCAAGCAGTAATTTTCAGCATTTGCATTGCACTTCAGTGTTGCATGAAGCTTGTTATGTTTCCTTAGCATTAAAATAAAATTCAGTTTGTACTAGATGCTATTTTTCTCTCAAGTTTTCTCAGGCCATTGAGCTTTTTGCCAATTGCTGCCATGGAGTCAGGGAGGAGTTTCAAACCCCCAGTACTTTTAGGTGCAATGGCCATGTTTGTGGCATGGCTGTGCAAAATGGCACCACCACAGAAATGGGTCCTGGTAGTATCTAGGGACCAGGTACCTCCATGTCCTCACATGCACAAATGTGTAAGTCATGTAGGAGTGGTGGGTGAATGTGGCAAGGCTGAAGCTGTGTTTCATATACATGTCTTCTTCTTCAGCTCTCCTGCACCTGGATTAGCGCTCCCCTCACTCCAACCCCTGTCCAGTATCTCAGGATCCAATCAGCTGAGCACCTGTGACAAACTAATTGTGATGGCTTAGTCTTTAAATTTGCAGGTTTGGGAACCCACAGGCATGGTCAAAATGCAGCATGTGAATCCAGTTTCCAATCTGAGACAAATATCCACAAACTTAATCACGACTGTGTGGCGAGTGCTTCTTTTCCATGAAGCTGACATGGAAGGTTGCAGATAGCTGCAGGTCTTGAGCTTGTATGCCGCGGACGTATGCGCGACGGCGTGCCGCTGTGGTGGCGTGCCATCCTCACCAGCGTTCATCTCGCCCCAGATGGTACCACGGCCGGCTGGACCGGCAGGGCTCGGAGGAGCGACTGCGCACGTTCGGCAAGTCGGGCGCCTACCTCATCCGCGAGTCGGACCGCAAGCCCGGCTCGTACGTGCTCTCTTTCCTGGGCAGGACGGGCGTCAACCACTTCCGGTGAGTGCCGGCCCTGATGTCACCGGCTGAGAGCTGCTCGACCCGCCGGTTTTGTATTCGTGTTACATGCCAAAACGCTGCAGACTTGATTGCTGATAAGAAATGTCTACAGATTTTTACCTACCAAGCAAATAAAGGGTTCTTGCATGTAGGGAGGTGCTGTGGCTAAACGTAGCAGTGGAGGGGATGTTGCTCCACGTAAAACCGACATTTTGTACTTCCATTGTAAGCTGGGTTGTTCAGCTATGCATTGGTAAGGAGATGATGCCTGGGACGCCTGGAAATATAATTGTCGTTACGCGCTGGTCGGTGACGGTGTCGCAGTGCTTAAGCGCACCGACAGGTCAGCTGGGAAAGTCTGACTGCTGGGCAAAGGCAAAACAACAATGCATGGCTCAGCAGGTGTCGAAAATCTGTCATCGTCTTTGTGTCAGGGATTGCGCGTGAGCAGGTCCGCCGACCATCACTGTGGTACGATGTTTCTGACATCGCTGCAGGCATACGTAAGATAATCCAGTTTCCAGTCGGAACCTGGTTATTGACTCATGGGGCCGTAAACCATGGAACGGTTTAAGGCCAGTGAGGGAAAGGGCATCATCGGATCAGTTCTCCCGGTGAGTGGTGGTCAGCGTCACGCCACTGACCAATGGCATTTGCCGGGCCGGCCCGCCAGGATCACGGCTGTGTACGGCGACTTCTACATCGGCGGCCGCCAGTTCGCCTCGCTCTCGGACCTGATCGGCTACTACACGCAGTACTCGGACCTGCTCAAGCGCGAGCGGCTGGAGCACCCGGTACCGCCGCCCGAGCCCGTCAACGATAGGCGCAAGGCCGTCGCCGTGCTGCCCTACACCAAGATGCCCGACACTGAGGAGCTGAGGTGCGGCCAGGACGCGTGCCGCAGTGCCGTTCGAGATGTGGGACCGCGCGGGATCCTGCGAGGAGAGGCCGGCCAGGCGACACCGGTTGCCGTGCTGTCGTGGGTGGTCGTGATGTTTCAGCGCCGTGCCACGCGCAGCACTGCTTCACTTCCTTCTGAGGACTTAAAATAATGAAGTAGCTATCAAGCGTGGGCCTTTTTGTTTTTGGCAAGCGGTGAGTTTTATCCTCACTTTTATACGTGACGTGGCACATTCCTCTGTGCATTGCGGATGTTGCCATGGGCTATTCGAGCATCCGTTTTGTAGCACGCTGTTAGCTATTTCTCTAAAGATCCCTGTAACCCTCTTGTTCAAGATGATATGACGAACGTACACCACTCGGTTTCAGCTTTCAGAAGGGCGACATATTTTTCGTGCACAACGACTGCGGTGACGGCTGGCTGTGGGTGACGGCGCACCGGTCGGGCGAGCAGGGCCTCATCTTCCAGGAGCTGACCGAGACGCTGGACGAGACAGTCGACCCCCAACTCGGTCTACCCCTGGTTCCACGGCACTGTCTCCAAAAACGAGGCCGTCGACCTTCTAGTCAAAGGTGACCGACTTCGCCATTCGCCGCTTTTCCCGGTGTGTACGTGAGCGTAACGCGCGCACAGTTTCCACGGCCGTGAGGCTAAAGCGACATTTACTGCAATGCGCTAGTCCTTAGAACGACATTGACGGGAAATCGCTCACATCGGTGGGGTTGCTGCAGGAACCTGAACCTGTTTTGTTCCACCTTGGCAAAGAGTGGTGGTGGGCGCTTTTCCTTCCTCGATCTGTCCCGCTGTCCGCGAAGCATTTGCTACCGGTGGCGGATTTGCTCACCGTATCGCGTTCCGTGTTCGTGGCTTACCGTGTTCGTGGCCGGCGCTCAGCTTCCGTCGTCGCCGTCTCGCACAACACCAGAGCGTGACCCGGGCCAGCGCACGTGTGGCTGGGCGCGGCGGCCATGTGTCGCGTGACCTCCTTCCCCCGTGCCCGGCGCCGCGAGCACGCGGCCCGCGCTGACCGGCCGCCGTGTCCGCAGCGGGGCCGGGCAGCTTCCTGGTCCGTCCCAGCGACAACTCGCCCGGCGACTACTCGCTCTTCTTCCACATCAACAACCAGATCCAGCGGTTCCGGATAGAGAAGAGGGGCGTCCGGTGGGTGTCGGCGGCGTCAGTGCCGCAGTCATGGCCATGGCAGGAGCGGGTGGTCATGTGGTGTGGCGGTATCGGCGACGTCAGTGCTGTAGTGTCCATAGGAGGCGCGAGCTGTTGCGCGGTGTGGCGTACCAAACTGCTGTCCTGGCCATGCTTCTGTTCGTTGGTGATCTGACCGTGCTCGCTTGATGCTTTTGTCCTTAAGAGTTTCTCACGGCAATGCGGGGCTGTGGCTGATAGCCGGTGTGTGGACGGATGGGTAAGGGCGATGCAAGAGTTCTTCTCACGGCAATGCGGGGCTGGTGGCTGATAGCCGGTGTGTGGACGGATGGGTGAGGGCCGATGCCCTGCGCCTGCTTACGCGTTGGCGCGGGCAGGTACGTGATGGGCGGCCGGACCGTTCGAGTGTCTGGCGGCCGTCACTCAACCGGTACAAGGTGAGCAGATAGTGGAAGGACATACACTCTCGCAGCCGGTCAAGGTGCGTGCTCTTCCGCGCCAGCTGGGCCGGGCTGGGTGGCTGGGCTGGGCTGGCTGGGCTGGGCTGGGCTGGGTGGGCTGGGCTGGGGCTGGGCTGGACTGAGCTGTTCTGGCAGTTCCGATGTGGTGGTCTAGGTTGTCAGCTGTGGTCACACCGCACTGTCGTGCTGGTGCTCTGGCAGCAGGCGCCGGATAGTTCTGATGAGTGGGATCGCGCTTTGGTCTGTATTTGGTTTGTGGTCACGGTGACTGCGACACGAAAACATACTAGAGGTTATGTGTACATTAGGGAGCATGTAACTTTCCAGCAAGCCACGGTGTCACCAGCTGCTGATGGCTTTGCGAGATGCTTTATCACACTCGGTTGTTGCCGCCGCTGAGTGTGGTCAGCGCGCGGTGCTGAGCTGGCCGGCCGGGGCTACTGGTGCCGCTCAGACCAGCCAGGGGCACTGTCGTGTGTGTCCTTCTGACCGGCTCCGCTGCCCCCGCAGAAGACGAGCACAGAGCTGGACGGCCCCGTCCAGTCCCGCGACGTCAAACACGCCGACGAGATCTACGCCACGCTGCGCGAGTGCAGGGAGATGCAGGGACTCAAGAAGAGCAAAGGTACGCGAACGGCCTCAACATCCGCTGATGATGACAGGGTCGAAAACTCACCTGCGATAGTGTTGTTCTTGTGGAACGTTGGTGATGGTGTTTTTGTGTCACATGGTCCCACTCTGTTTTTAACTTATTTTGTGTGGACTGCCTGTTGTCCAGACAATTGCTGCAAAGACAGTAGTCATCGCCGGTTGCAGACATAAACGATGTACATGGAGATTCTACAGCGTCTTCTTGTCTTTCCACACACCGCCGTTAATGCATTATGTACTGTCATTTTTTTAGATGTGTTCTAATACAGTCGTTTATGCCAGGTGTTAAGATGCAGGGATACCTGAGTAAGAAAAACGAGAAGAACAAGAAATGGAAGACGATGTACTTCGTATTGCAAGTAGAGGGAACAGATACACATCTCCTTTTCTATGATAATCCCAAGGTAAGTGACCTCCTGGCGTGACCGTCACTTTTAGGGAAAGACGTCAGTGAACACCTTTATTCACTCGTTCGTGTTACAAGTTGTCTCCCCGGTTACACCTGACCTTTTGGGAGGCATCGTTCGTCCCGTATAGCACCGGGGTAGCCCTGGCGGTGACCACCTCCCGAGGGAGTGTTGGACCGTCCCCCAGTTGGGCTTCGAGGTGGGTGGAGAGCCCCGGTGCCGAATGCTTGCTAGAAATCGCATGGCTTATCAAAACTCGACAGACACCTGACCCCCGGGAGGGGGTCGGACAGCGCTGAGGCCCGGGTGCAAGGGGGATTCGCCCCCCCCCCCCTTCCCCTTGCCCTCGGATTCTGATCTTCTCCAGCGGAGATATAAAGCTTTCTATCCAACGTATATCGTTACAACGACGGAACGGCCGTGACAAGTTTGGAGACATCACGAGATGTGACAAGCTGAGGGATGGCAGCATCGAGGTAGAGTTCGCCAGTAGTCTGGAGGCGAAGCGCGCATTAGAAGCGAAGGAGTTCACTTACGCTATTCGTGGTGAGAACGGGAAACATGACAAACCGTAGCTTTGACAGTAACACCTCACAACACAACAAACTCATCTAGAGGCTGTTGTAAATTGTTGTGACTTTCGTGATGTAAGTGGGAACAAAATCGCCGGGAGCTTTCGAGGCTCGATGTAACCGTCGCGTGCAGAATCCTAGTCAGGAGAGGAGGAGGAGAACTGACGGCTACCAGCAACATCATTCTCACTTTCAATCGTCCAGATCTAGAATCAGATATTCGTGGGGCTATTGTCCGCGTGATAATCCGTCTTTTCGTTCCCCAACCTAATGCGCTGTTTTCAATGTCAACGGTTCGGCCACACGAAACCCCATTGCCGCAATAAGCCAGTGTGCAGTGAATGTTCGTCTACCACCCACCTAAGGGACAAGTGCACCGCTGGCCATCCTTATTGCGTCAACTGTAGTAAGGACCAAACACCACACGCTGTGTTTGACTACGTGCCCAGCGCTCCTCAGAGAAAAGGAGGTACCTTTGCTAAAAACGTCCAAAGAAATATCTTTCCGAGAGGCCAGATACATGTATGACGCGAATCATCCCAAGCTCTCGGATGCATCGAAAGTAAGAACTGCTTTGCCGCACAACAACGTCATCGAGCAGATGGCCGTCGCCCAGTTCGCGGGACTCCTGAGATCATTTGGTCTCACAGCTGCACCTTCAGCACGTACACCAGGCTCCCAGCCGGCGTCCGAACTCCCTCATCGCCGGCCAACCAGTCTGTAGCGGACGTTGGCGTCCGGGCTAAGCCCCTGCTCCATCCCCGGTGCCGGGCCGGTCGACACCTATCATGTTGCCGACCCCCCCCCCCCCTTCGTCGCTGTCTCCTGCCGGAGAGGAGGTTTGGACGTTGGTCCGGCGCTGCAGTGGCCCGCGGGCCCCATGGGCCTTCGCGTCGGTTTCTTCGCCGCCCTCGTCCGTCTCCGTTTCGTGTGCTCCGCTGCCTTCGTCACCTCCGACGAGATGCTCTCCAGTTCTTGTCTAATCGGACATCACTGGTGACGAATCTCACGTTTTTGTCACGACTCTGCTGTTTTTATTTCAGCATAACATAGGATCCTTTAGCCATTTACATAGGTAGGTAGTAATTTAGCTGTTATGGGCGCAAAATGACCTCGGTAGTCGGCGCGCTCTAAAACTCCAACAATCAACAAGTTGTTTCCAAGAAGAAAATAGTCATTTGCTCACTCACGTCATGTAGCAAAGGTGTGGTACTATTCAGATTGCTCGAATCTTCTCACATTCGTTCATTTCGGTATTTTGTGCGTGCAGTAATGAATGTGGCACACTGGAGGCTACTGTCCGGAGCACTTGAAAACAATATGCCTGGGTAACCTCTGGAGACAATATGTCATTCACATGTAGGCATGCGCCTTTTTGTAATCAGCGTTGTTTGTGTCTCTTTCCAGCGGATGAAACCCAAAGGTCTGATTGACCTGAGCTGTGCCTACGTGTACCCCGTGGACGACTCGTTCTTCGACCGGTCGTTCTGTTTTCAAATAGTGGAGAAGGCGCTGCCGTGCCTGGCGACGGTCACCTACCTGTGCGCCGGCTGTGCCGACTCGATACAGGTCGGTTCCCCGGAGCGTGCGCGGTCATGCCGCCGCTGCGCGTGCCACAACCTATGACGTAATCACCCCTGTTCGCACGTCTGGCGTCACGCTTGTGTGAACTTCAATGCCGCGGTGTGCTCTTGTTGGAGGCGCGTGTGGAGCGTGCTGTCCTTGGACCGCGCGCCGCCGACTGTCCGTCCGGGTCGCGTTGTGCTGTGTGGAGCGGTGCCGGGACCCCGTCACGCCGGCTGACGTGATGTCATGCCAGCTGACAGGACGTTCTGCGCTCCGCAGGACTGGGTGGCGGCGCTGAAGCCGCTGTGCGTGCCCCAGAACGCGCGGCTGCCCAAGGTGGCGAACCTGCGCGAGCTGCGCTGTCTGCAGCTCTCCGTGCTCGAGGCGTACCGGCTGCCCCTAAAGTTGGTGCCCAGTCCATTTTGCGTCATCGCCGTCAATCAGGTCAAGGTGGCGCGCACCAAGGTCAAGACCGGCCCCGACCCCGTCTGGGGCGAGGACTTCGTTCTGGAGTGAGTGAAGGGCGTTTCCAGTTTCAGCTCTCCGTTTTTTTCTTTCTTTTTATCCGGTCGTGGTGAACAACGTTAACATCTGGTACCCACTTGTTCATTCGGAGTGCCAGGTGGCTGACCTCACAGCTGCTTATGTCTTCGTCGTGGTACGGTGTCATCGCTCCAACTGCGACTCTGTGGCATGCCCGTCGCTCCACCGAGCTGCAACCTGATTGACTTGTGACCGACCGCTTCAGCGACCTTCCGCCGGACGTGCTGACCTTCAGTGCCATCATCTACAATAAGGGCAAGCGCTCCAAGGACAACGAGGTGGCCGAGGTCACCCTCGAGCTTAAAGACCTTGTCAGCGGGGAGGAGGTCAGTGATCACGAGGCCAGCAGGTGGCTCCCACGGGGATGAAATCCGTCTTATGAGCCTCAGCGTGAACACATTTGATACTAGCCATTTCAAATGCAGGGGAAGGATGTGGCAGCATTCGTTTACGTGAGACCAGCATTAATTTACAATAATCCGGGTATCAGTTGTGTGGCGCGCTCCCCCTTCCTCCCTGCCGGAGGTGGCTTGGCGCCCGGCCGGCGCTGCCAATCGGCGGCGCCCGCTTGCCTGAGCGTGACGCCCCGGGCCGGCCGGCAGACGGAGAGAACTGGCTACCAGCTGTCGGGCATCACGCCGATCGGTGAGTGGGGCTCGCTGCGGCTGCGGCTGCGCTACACGCACGACTTGGCCATGCCCTGCGAGGAGTACTCGTCGCTCAAGGAGCTGCTGCTCGACGACCAGCTGGAGGCGGTGCGCGCCCTGGCCGGTCTCCGACACGGCGACCGGGTGCCGCTGGCCGCCGCCCTGCTCAAGGTGTTCAGGTCAGTCGTGTGCGAGCATCTGCCAGTCACGGTGTTCTGGTCAGCCACCGGTGACCAGCTTCGGGATCTCCCAGTCACGGTGTTCCGGTCAGTCACCGGCGACCAGCTTCGGGTCATGGTGTCCCGATAAGTTACTGGTGACCAGCTGCGGGTCACGGTATTCAGGGAGTCACAAATGGGCAACCTTTAAATGTGGTTCAGGCTGATGCGATCCATCACGAGGGGTGAGCCTGTAGCCACCGGTCGGCCGGCCTCGACCTGTACGGCCCCGCCCCACGCCGTGCCGCAGGTACGAGAAGAAGGAGGCCGAGCTGCTGCAGACGCTGAACGACCTGGAGATCGAGACGGAGGAGGATAAGTCGACGCTGTTTCGTGGCGCCTCGCTCACCACTGCCCTTCTGGACCTCTACATGAAGTCGGTCTGCACCGGCTTCCTGCACGTCGCCGTCTCCGACATGATCAATCGCATCGTCGAGTCCAAGCAGTCGTGCGAGGTAAAGCTCGGCACACTGTGACGAGGTAAAGCTCGGCACACTGTGACGGGGTAAAGCTCGGCACACTGTGACGAGGTAAAGCTCGGCACATTGTGATGAGGTAAAGCTCGGTACACTGTGACGAGGTAAAGCTCGGCACACTGTGACGAGGTAAAGCTCGCACACTGTGACGAGGTAAAGATCGCACACTGACGAGGTAAAGCTCGGCACACTGTGGCTGTGACGAGGTAAAGCTCGGCACACTGTGACGAGGTAAAGCTCGGCACACCGTGGCGAGGTAAAGCTCGGCACACTGTGGCGAGGTAAAGCCCGGCACACTGTGGCGAGGTAAAGCTCGGCTCACTGTGACGAGGTAAAGCTCGGCACACTGTGACGAGGTAAAGCTCGGCACACTGTGGCGAGGTAAAGCTCGGCACACTGTGACGAGGTAAAGCTCGGCACACTGTGACGAGGTAAAGCTCGGCACACTGTGACGAGGTAAAGCTCGGCACACTGTGACGAGGTAAAGCTCGGCACACTGACGGTAAAGCTCGGCACACTGTGACGAGGTAAAGCTCGGCACACTGTGACGAGGTAAAGCTCGGCACACTGTGACGAGGTAAAGCTCGGCACACTGTGACGAGGTAAAGCTCGGTACACTGGCGAGGTAAAGCTTGGCACACTGACGAGGTGAAGCTTGGCACACTGTGACGAGGTAAAGCTCGGCACACTGTGACGAGGTAAAGCTCGGCACACTGTGACGAGGTAAAGCTCGGCACACTGTGACGAGGTAAAGCTCGGCACACTGTGACGAGGTGAAGCTCGGCACACTGTGACGAGGTAAAGCTCGGCACACTGGCGAGGTGAAGCTCGGCACAGTGTGACGAGGTAAAGCTCGGCACACTGTGACGAGATAAAGCTCGGCCTACTGTGACCTGCATCTTGTTAAAGGGATGCGCGGCTTTTGCTCAGTGTCGTTTAGCCTCCAGGCAGTGGCCCGTTCTGGAGCTGCATGGATCAGTGTGCTTACAAACATTGTACAAGACCTGGTCCGGCGAGAATTGGTGCATGGATCACCGAGCGTACTCCAACAGAAAACCACGCACCGCGTATGAATGAAGTATCGGTATCACTCACGTCGCCTTAACAGAAGGTGTTCATGCAGCTCTCTATTGTTTGCATTGAACGCCGGATCTCGAGTCTTTGGTGGCGGTGTGGTATGACGCAGCATCCACTTTTGGCGTGTTTTACGGGCATATCCCGCTGAAGGCGGTATGTTCACCATGTGGTCAGCCGTCGGTCGGGTGAGGCGAGGACCGCCCGCGTGGCCGGAGTCCCCGTCACCGGACTGATGTGGCCGTTTCAGCTGAACCCGTCCAAGATGGGCCACCAGGAGGACGCCTGCAGCAATGCCGAATACCTGCTGGAGGTGCTGGACAGGATCACCGATTCCATATTCCTGTCGGCAGAGGACTGTCCCCGGTGGGTAAAGCCTCCCCCTCTCTCTCTCTCTCCGGACCGACTGGTGCTCTGTAGCGTGGGATGACGATCTCCCCTGCCCGGCGACCAGGAGTCCGCGTGGATTTCACGATCTGTGCAATCCCAGTGATCTGTGTCCCGTACCATTGGCGTTGGGTTCAGTGTCGACGGAGGTCTTGGACGACCGCTGTGCCTGAACCCCCGCCCGCGGTGTCTGGACCCGTGCTCCGCCGTGTCTAGACCCGTGCTGCCCTCGTGCCGGTGTCTGGACCCGCTCTCCGCCGTGTCTGGATGCGTGCTCCGCTGTCTGGACCCGTGCTCCGCCGTGTCTAGACCCGCGCTCCGCCGTGTTAAACCCATGCTCCGCCGTGTCTGGGCCGCTCTCCGCCGTTGGCAGACGCTGCCGCCTATATCTGCGGCTGCCTGCAGCGGAAGCGTGCCGCCAAGTGGCCGAACGAGAAGCACGTGCGCACGCGCGTCGTCTCGGGCTTCGTGTTCTGCGGTGATCTGCCCTTGCCATCCTCAACCGCGCCAGTTCGGTCTGCTCACCGGTACGTGGCGGACACCGGCCGGGGTGGGGGGAGGGTGGGGGGGGGCAGGGAACGGAGGGAGCTGAGCCCGCACGCAGACGGAGCCGGGGCTCCGCCGGGCCTGGCTGGCGCGGTCCGGGCTCGGATCTCTACGCGCCCCGCAGTGAGTGTGGTGTGCTGATTGCTGTCCACTGGCAAACCTCAGGAGGTTACTGTTGTTTTTCGGCGGCGCGGCCCCTGTTCCGCTCGGTGCTGTGAGCGGCGTACGGGTGCTGGGTGCGACCGGCCCGCGACGTGCCTGACAGGCGGCCGTCCGTCCGCAGAGCCGCCTCCGCTGCAGGGCGCCCGCTCGCTGGTCATTGTGGCCAAGTGCCTGCAGAATTGGCTAACCTGGTGGAGTTCTGACGGCAAGGAGCATTAACATGGTAGGTGGTCAACCCGTTCATCATCAAGAACCGCGAGCGATGGTGATCTTCCTCGACCACCTGTCGGTACGAGATGCGCTGGCTGTACATACACTGATGCGAGTTGAGTGCTTTCCGCAGTGTTTGTCGCTTCACAGGCGCGGTTCTGGGCAAGGAAATTGCCTGTGACCAAACGCCCGTGAATTAGACAGCGTGGTGTTTGGCCTGCGTGCCACTGGTTTCACGAGTGCCATGGGCCTGACCCTGGTCGGCTGAAAATTGTGCCAATTTAACGTGTTGCATTCTGATGTTTGACATTATCGGAAAAGGAACCGATCAGCTCGCACTTACGTCATTGGGAAAGCCAAGCGGATGGGCATTTCGCGGTCGGGCATTTACACCAAGGGCATTTCGTGGGTGGGGAGGTCACCTGGGGAGGGTAGCCCGACCGGAATGTTCAGCACACCTGCCTGGCGCTCCGCTCCGGCATCGCTGGGCGGCGCGGCAGCGTCGACTATCGGCGTAACCGTGCGCCCTCATTCGACAGAACGTGCAGGTGCGGCCCGAGTCGGAGGACCTGCCGCTGAAGGGCGACCCGGCGCGAGAACTGGGCACCATCCACCAGACCTGCTCGCTCCACATCAAACACATCCAGGACCAGTGCAAAGTGCAGGTGTGGCCGCGTGCGCAGGCGGCCATGGCGAACACGGGTGCGAGGGCGGCTGTGGTCTGAGACGCTCCGTCGTCACGCCGTGGTTCTCAAAAGGAGATTTTTTGCTGTTGTGCTTACCGGCATGAAATGCTCACACGCTGTACTGTTGTGCAGTAGATGAGTAGTTTGAGTAACTATGTTTCAGACTCAGCGCCGATTATCCTTAGTAACGGAGCTCACATGTTGATATTGAAAGGCTTCTAAATATGAGGAAAAAAACTGAAAAAGGCGGAAAAGTACACCGAAGACAAGCGACCAATCTAGTTTGGAGTCGACGCCGTGGTGGGACATTTCGAAACGCCTAGATTTGTTTCTCGTCCGACTTTCGTAGCATGCCAAACGAAGGACGGTTCCGGTCCATCGGTGGAAAAAACGCCAGGAGAGATGATTAGAGCCCGGAAGCCGAGCGGTGCCACAAGTTCTGCATGGTTCCCAAAGTCTGGAAAACGCGCGCACGTTGCGCCCAATCCAATTTGAGAACCACACGGCTTCTGGCCAACATGTGCACCATCTGACTCATGTATGTTTGAATCCTCCGAGTGAAGCTGTCGCGAATGAACCCGAAAACAAAACTTATGCTTGTACGGCATGTCGGCAATGCACGCGTCGAGAGGCGCTGATGTTCGCATCGGAGACGAGATGCAAGGATCGCAGACGATGTCGATTGGGACGCGGGTTGTTGACCAGGCACTTGCACTTGACAATTTTACTGTGAT